TGGCAGAGGCCAGGAGTTCATGATCTGCAGGGTGATAACACAAGGGATGTGGGGGCTTCTAGCAGAGCAGGCACCTCTGGATCTTGCTGCCCTGTGATTAAGGGCTGGAGCCTTAACAGGGATGAGCAGAGCTGTAATGAAAAGCCTCTGTTCCCGAGGCTGGGACGAGGTGCTGCCCATTCACTGCTGGCAGCACCTGGGTCAGGAGAGCAAACCCCACTTCTCCTCTCTTTTCCTGCCTGGACAAGCCCTGTTTTATTAAGGCCCATTCAGGAGCTGCCTGCATCCTTAGCCCTGGAAAGAAGCAGGACACAAACTCAGGTGTTTACAGACTCGTTCAGTCTCCTAAATGGAGGCTTTTCGTTTTGAAAGAGCAAAGCTCTGCACTTCCTCTCTGTCTCTTGAGCCGTCAATTACAAGGCAAAGCACTGTAAATCCTCTTTGGGAATGCTTCCAACACTGCAGCACGCATTGCCCGGAGCTGCTGCAGCCTGTTCTAGCCGGGAAGGTGTGTTGTGGGTGTCCGAAGGGTTCACAAGAACGGTAATATCGATGCTGACTGACTTTGGGCTTTCCACGTGCTGCAGACGAACATCTTCCTCTCACAGATGCAGCTCCAGGCAGCGCAGTGTCCCTCAGGAGGAGCTGGACACTGCCTAAACAGTGCCCGGGTGAGTTCTCCTTCAGAGCCGTTCCCATGAGCAGTGCTCAGTCCTTCCTTGGGCTGTTCGCTGGCGTCGCCCGGTTCCTGTGTGTGTTCGTGGGGCACCGGTCGGGATGCAGAGCATCGCTGGGGAGCAGCGGCCACCCCGGCCTCCCTGCGGCAGGAGGAAACGGACCAGGCCTCCCCCCGCTGCAATTCCCACTTTGCCCACGAGATGGCGACAGCGAATTGCTCCGAGCAGCGCCGCCCGAGGCCTCCCTCAGCCAAGCGCCCGAAGGCCGAGCCCCGCGGAGGGGATGCTTTGAGATGTTTCCCTTTCAGACGCGCTGACCTTGGTTTAAGTGTTTGTGCTTCACATCAGTCAGGACCTAGCAGCGCCAAGCACCCATCAGGCACATGGGGGCTTGCAGCTCTCCCTCTGCTTTATATCTAACCTGAGCTTTCGCTGTTTCGGTTTGAACCCATCACCCCTTGTCCTATCGCTGCAGTCCCTGATGAAGAGTCCCTCTGCAGCATCCTTGTAGGTAGATACTGGATAGATACTGATGCTCTGAGGTCCCCACGCAGCTCCACTTCTCCAGGCTGAACAGCCCCAATGTTCTGATTCGGAGAAAACTCCAGGAACAAACTCGCCAACAGTTTCAATCTGACAAGCAGGTCATTCCTTATTGCGGCACAGGGAGACACGGGGATGGCTCCTCCTAATGTGTGTCCCCGTACCGCTACACGGGCCATCCTTGTATGGTCACCGGGCATACATACATATTCATGAGGCTACATATGGATTACATCATTTTCCAGGCAGTTCCCCGCATGCGTACCAAAATGTGGTGGTGGTCTCTGGGGGTCGTTTACTTCTCCCAACAATCTTCATCACTTCTGGCAGTCTTTGAAGCACCCGCTTCATTAACACCACAAACAGCAATCATCCTGTCCTACTTACCAGTCACTTTAACTGCTTCCACCCTGGACATCTGCTAGTCCCGGATACTCCCCATCCCCAGGTCCTGTTTTTCTATTCTGCTTTTCTTAACACTTTCTGTACTAAGGTCCTAAGGACCTGAACCCGTGTCAACTACCTTCAAGCACCGCAGTTATTGTCCGTTACAAAGCCATCAAACTTAGGTACTTAGAACTGATCACATTTTGTGCCTCCTTGTCTCAGCTTTGTCTCCATACAGGAGATGCTCCAGCCCCTGATCATCCTCGTGGCCTCTCTGGGCTTGCTCCAACAGCTCCGTGTCCTTCTCATGCTGAGGACACCAGCACTGCACACGCAGAGCAGAGCAGAGCAGAGGGGCTGCCTTCCTCATCTCCCAGGGCACCAGTGCCCTGTGCACCTCAAACACCTGTGAAAAACCAACTCAAACCTAAACTGAGCTGATTCGCTCAGAGCACCAGGGTGATGAAAGCGAGTGCTGCTGCAGCTGCTGTCCGGGCTGTCGATGCCGTCCTGGGGTCGTGCTTGCGTGTGGCTCATCCAGACCAAGGCTTTTCCCTGGATCCGTGCCCCAGGGCACTGTAACAGCCTCACGTTAACGGAGACAGAGCGGCACCGCTTGCCCCTGGGGCCATGATCACCGGCATCCTCTCTCCGCGGCCTGGAGCTGCTGCTCTGGAGGTGAGAGCCCTGACCCAAGGAGACCAAGAGCCGTGCCTGGGGCTGCAAGTGCTCCGGGCTGCGTTAACGGAGCCCCCCGGGCAGAGCCGAGCTGAAGATTCCAACCCCATTTCCTTCGTGTTGAAAGAAAATGAACTGCAGGGGCTTGGTTCTTCCCCTCATCCCACTGCGCGGACACAGAGGTGCCCGGGCACCCCTCTGGCACCCAGCTGCCCCCCGGCGCCCTCAGCCGCACTCTTCAGTGGGGCACAGGCTGCACACGCTCATCTCGGGCACAAAACCTGCCTGGTTTTAACCCCGCTCGGCACATCTGCCCTTCTCTCGCAGCTGCTCGAGCCGCAGCACCGACACGGGCAGGCAGCAACCGGGGGCAGAGCTCGCAGCACCCCGGAGGACAGCGCTGGGGCAGGCACCAGGGGCTCCTGCCCTGCTGCTTCGTTTGCCCTTTGATAGCACAGCAAAACGCGGTGTCCCGAGGGGTGGCACGGGCTGAGGCGCTCGGGTGCCCTGCAGCCCTGCCTGGGGAGCAGGCAACGTAAAGGCTCTTGTCCTGCCAGAATCCCTGCATGGCCAATGCTTCCTAACCCCAGCATCCCAGCAAGGTAGCTGTGTGTAACCCCAGCACCCCAGCTGTGTGTAACCCAGAACCCCAGCACCCTAGCTGTGTGTAACCCCAGCTGTGTGTAACCCCAGCACCCCAGCTGCGTGTAACCCCAGTCAAACAGCTCCATGCATCCGGACTTCAGGTGAGTGCTGCAAAACACCAACCCCAAACCTGCAACGCCCCAAAGAGGAGGTTGCGCAGGTGAGAGACAAAAGGCTTGGGAAGCGCTGCCCTTCATCCCAGCAGCATCCCTGCCCTTCATCCCAACTTGGGACCGCCCCTGGCAGGGCTGGAGGGGCTGTATAAGGTGGGCAGGCCTGGGTGAGCTCCTCCAATGGCTTCACTGACTGCTAGAGCCCAGTACTGCAGCGGCACACGGAGGTGTGCCCTTCAAGAGGCTCCCTGCACATCCTTCACCTCGGTCTGCAGCTCCTGCACCTCGGTCTTTTCAACTTCTGCAGCTCCAGCATCTCGGTCAGCATCTCAGCACCAGTGTTTGCTGTTCCCCATGGGTCACGGGCCAGGGATGGCTGGGAGTGGGGGGCCTGGATCATGCAGAGGTTATTGCTCTGCCAGGGGAGCCAGTGGTGGGCATGGGGAGCTCAGGGAGCCTGGGGGGTACCTGGGACCTCACCAGGGCGTGAGGAGCTGTTCTAGCCCTTCCTGTGGACCAAAGCAGGCAGGAGGGTGCTGGCAGGAAGCCTTGCTCATCCCAGCTTCCTGATCATGCACTGCAAAGGGGTGGTGGTGTGCTTCTAGCATCGTATGGTAACCCAAAAGGCCCGGTGCAGCATCCCTGTGGCTGCCCCCACTGCACTGGGGGCCAGTTGCCAAAAGGGAACGTTCTTTGTATTTCATCCCTTGCAGGCAGGAGCCCTCTTTCCCCAGGACCAGGCTCTGCCCTGAGCTGCTCTGCGCATCCCTGAGGTGCTGGGTGAGCAGCATGAGGTTCGTGGCTGTGATGGGGAGAGCAGCGAGGGCATCCTGAGCCATGGATGCAGCAAAGCTTCCCCACCGCCTGCCCCTGGCCTCATCCTGCCTCAGGCTCCAGGAGGAGGAATTGTCCTGCCTGGAGGTCGCTGTCCTTGCGCCAGTGCCCATGGAGGGGTGGCTGCAGGGTGCCCCAGTGAGGGATGCCCATAGGGAGGCTGGGTGCTCCCTGCCAGCACCATCTCCTCTGCCCAGGTTGGGAAAGGGCTGAGATCATGGCAGCAATCTCGCATCAGCCCGCGTGGCTGGGCTGAGCAGGGGCACAGCATGCTGCAGGGCTGGGCTCCTGAGAGTGCCCCTGGGTCTGGACCAGGGTGGGTGACTCTTTAACCCACCAAGCTTGAATGTCTTTATCTGTTGTGTTTGGGTGGCCACTGAGCAGGTTGAACGCTCGTTACAGCAAGGATGGGCTGTGTGAGGAGAGAGTAAATCAGTGCAGTGCATGCTAAAGCACAGGAAATAGTGCCCTTCGGTGCCCTTCTCTCACTCCTTTTAGTATCTCCTTGTACCGTGTTTATGGTTTGTTTCAGTGGCTCAGCTGCCTTTTAATGGTTGTTCCTTTCTGCACTTGGATGTGATAGGAGAGGTTTTAACTGTAGTTCCTCCTGCTTGGTGGAAACTGCAGGGGCTCAATTGTCAGGAGAATCTGAACGCCAAATGTCCTGACGCTGCCAGGGGAGGCTGCAGAGCTGGGCAGGCTCCCCCGGGGCTCCAGGTGAGTGTGGAGGAGGGAAACACAAACTTGAACCGGGGAGACTGAGCTGAGCTCTTAGGCAGAAGCTCTTCCCTGTGAGGGTGCTGAGGCGCTGGCACAGGGTGCCCAGAGAAGCTGTGGCTGCCCCATCCCTGGCAGTGTTCAAGGGCAGGTTGGACACAGGGGCTTGGAGCAAGCTGCTCTAGTGGAAGGTGTCCCTGCCCGTGGCAGGGGTTGGAGCTGGAGGAGCTTTAAGGTCCCTTCCAACACAAACCAGGCTGGGATTCTGTGAACCTCAGTGATCAGGGGTCCGGGCATAACCCCCGATATCGGGCACTGCAGCGTTTGAAGTAGAACAGAAAAACCCAGGCATTTTGAAGCAATGTGTTTATTAGGTATGCTTAAAGATAGAAGAAGAGAAAGAGACTTCAAGAGGTGCACAGACTGCCCTATCACATGCTCTACCCCCAGGTACAAACCCAGAACCACTTTGGACACCAGACCTGTTGCCAGCCGTGCCAGGAGGCTGCCCATGGAGTGCTTGGGGTGAGGTGACACAGCCCCACAGGAGACCCAGGAGAGTGGCAGCAGCGGGTGCGAGGCAGCCGCACGATGCCCACATCTGCCTTTTGATGGGCACAGACACAGCCCCGCTGCTTGTCTGCCTGTTTCCCAGGTACCCCTCCTGCCTCTTGAGGACCTCACCCTCTCCCCGCACTCCCTCAGCATCCAGCATCCCTTCCAAGTCCCTCCTCCTGCTCATCTCCAGCTCTCCCCGGTCCCCCTGGGCAGGGTGGGGATGAGGAGGGGAGAGGTTGGAGGCAGCAGGGTTGGTTCTGGCCGGGGCAGCTCCTCTCCCCTCCCAGCCCACCTGAGATTCCAGCCGGTTCTGCTGCCTGCGGGCGCGGGGCGGGCGGCTCAGCACACGGAGCAGCTGTTGGTCTTGTTCATGGGAGGCCTCAGCGCCTGCTCCTTGGGCAGCGTCTCCCTCCTCTTGCAGAGCGCGGGGCTGAGCCGGGCGGGCAGGTTGGCTTGCTGCAGCAGCTCCCTGAACACCTCCAGCACGTTCTCGTTGTCCTTGGCCGACGTCTCCACGAAGCGGCTGTTCCAGTCCAGCTCCACCAGCGACAGAGCATCCTCCACCGGCACCTGCCGCTCGCTGCCGCTCTCCGCCTTGTTGCCGACCACCACGATGGGAGGGAATTTGTCTTCCTTCACCTCCAGGATCTCCTCCCGCAAGCTCTTGACGCTCTCAAAGGACTCGGCGTCATCTACGGCGTAGACCAGGGCGAAGGCATCGCTGTTCTGGATCGAGAGCTTCCTCATGGCCGGGAAGGAGTAGCTGCCACTGGTGTCCAGGATTTCCACCTTGACCGTGGCCCCGCTCACCTCGTACTCCTTGCTGTGCAGCTCCTCCACCGTGCGCCGGTGCTTGGGCTCGAAGGTGTCCATCAGGAAGCGGCGGATGAGGGCTGTCTTGCCCACGCCGGCAGCGCCCAAGAAGACCAACCGCACGTGGTTCTTTTCCTTCACCACCAGGGACATAGCGCAGAGGGGACAGGATGCTCCGCCGCTGGTGCTCGCCTCAAAGGGCTCCCTGGATGGCCGCAGCCCCTCTGTCTGTCCTCCCCGGCACCGGCTCGTGGCAGGCGGGGAAGTTCGGTTCCACCTCCCTGCAAACTTCTCCCGGCTGTTCTGCCGCTGCAGTCCCCAGGTCCAGCTCGTTTTGTATCCTGACTCCCCTCTGCCATGTGGCACCCGGCTGTCCAATCTCCGTGGGTTGTGGGTGCTGAAGGAGGAGGGCAGGGAGGGAGGAGAGTGGGGTGCTCCGGGCCAATCCGCGGAGCTCAGTCCTGGGAAGCCACTGCAGCCCTGGGGAGCACCGCGCTACGTTGCACATTGCACTTGCGTCTCTCACCACTGTCAGTAGCGCCAGGGAGCCGGCAGCGTTGCAGCCGTCACGCTGCGCAGGCTGCCCGGCCCTTTTGTGCTCCCTGTGGTGCTTGGCATGGGCTCGCTGGCAGCACCCCTGCTCGGCGGTGGTCCCTCACCCGTTGGGTGGCTCATGGCCAGACATGGCAGGAGCTGGCCGATGTCACCCACGGTGTTTCTCACACTCACCTGCGGCTGGGTTTTCACACAGGGATGCTGCAAACATCCCCAGCTCTTCCTTGGACCCATGAGATATTTGAGCATAAGCTCCCCTGAAACCCGTGTGTCAGAACCGGCACGTTCAGCTGCCCGTTACTCTGCGGCAGATTCAACCTGAGGGGCAAACAAGAGCTCCAGGAAGCGATGCATCACGGCCTCTGCAGTGCTGAGTGCTCACGGGCAGGAGCACTGGCTGTGATCTGCTCCAGTGAAACAGTGCCCCACAACGGCTGCTGGGCTCGTCAGGCCAAGAGGTGGGATGCGTGCCCGTGCCCGTCTCCGCATGGATGGGCATCAGCTCTGCAAGGGAGTTTGCTCATGGAGGTACAGGTTGCCCCGTGTTTCCTCAGCAGTCACCGTCCCTATTTCATGCTGCGGTTGGTTCAGAAGCTGATTTATGCCAAGTGCAAATACAAAGGGAACTTGCTCAAGAGCTAAAATGAGTTTTATCTTCTTACCTTTGTATGCGTGCGTGGGTTTTTTCTAGCTTTGGACCCATCTGTGTAGTTTAGATGCCATTGGTTTTCTTTCCATAGCAAAGTTCCAGTTTCAGCCTTTGGTTCTGGCTGAATTAAGCCTGTTGATTCCAAAAGCCCTTTTCACAACAATTATTCCTGCCTCTTAATTCCCCAGTTGTTGTCACGTTGTAGGCGTGCTAAGGACTGAGCCTCAGGAGTTAGAAGATGCTGAGGACACGGAAGATGTCATGGCACATCCATAGGACCTTATGTGAGCCAAAGACCAGGGGAAGGGATGGATGAACTGCGTTTAGGCACGTGAACAAAGCAGTGACCACATTGTGGTGCCTGGTGCATCACCAGCATCAGTGGGAATGAAGAACCGAAGAGGGGAGGGAGAAGGGCATGATAAGTAATCTCACCCCAGCTTTGGAAGCTGTGTAAAGCCAAACCCCACATTTTTAACTAGGAAAGACTTGGGTTAATGCCTCTTTGTGTTTAAATGGACAAAGTGATGGAGGCTTTTGGGCAGGGAGATGAAACGGGTTTCCTGAGGTCCTCCCAGCCACTTATGGTGAAGCTCTGCAGGGCTCAGCCAGCCCTCAGGAGGTGCTGGGGGCCTGTGCGATGCCCTCACTGCTGCTCTCTTTCCCAGTATTTTATTCCAAAGGGTCTCAAAACATGGATCTGTTCAACCTCAGCAGCACCCATCTCTCTCACAGGTGCAGAAATGGTGCCCAAGGTGAAAGAGGAGGCAGGAGGGAAGAGGGACCCTGGGCTCCAAACCCCCAGCCTGGCTCTAAACCATCCCAGTTACTGCCAGCACCCTGCAGGAAAGGAGCTGCGAGCTGATGGACACACTGGGAACACCAAGCAGCAACGCCAGCCGTGGAGGGGCTCCCAAACAGTGCCCGGGAAGGTGACCCTGGTGCCATGGGAGCCAGCACTGGGTCACTACCACTGCGTCACCACCAGTGTCTGCAGTCGTTCCTGTTAGGAGTGGATGTGTCCTGCGCGGTGTGGCCAAGGTGAAGAGCCAGCCCTGGCTCTGTGAGACAAAGGAGTGTGCTGCAGAGCAGCAGCTCGATGCTGCAGCCGCACGCAGCCTGTCTGCACATCCCCAGTGATTTTTCACATCAGTTGTCTCCCCTTCCTTTTCACATCTGTGCTGCTATGGTTACCGAGAGCCTGGAAGGTTTTAAATCTCCCTCAGAGCGATGGAGGATTTCAGGGGTAATCTTGTTAAGAGATGAGCAATGAATATTTCCAAGGGCCTTTTGCATGAATATCTCGTTCCCTATTAGCTTCTGTCCACTGACAGCAGGGAAAGCAAAGCACAGGGGGACTGTGTGCAACGAAGGGAAGAAATCAGGGAAGGATGAATGCAGCGACTTGTTTTCCACTTCAGCCTTTTGTACCCGGAACGATGTCCCTAAAAACTGTGGTTTTCAAGGGAGGCTTGGCCAGCTTGAGTCAGGGATTACACAAGCATCATTATTTCGGCCTGTTTTTCCCCCAGGGAAAGACTCAGAGGCCCTTGATGGACACTGGGAGCTGGGGACAGTCATGGCTGAGTCCTACAGCAACGCTCTGCATCCCTTAGCTGTGCACTGGTCCGATGAGATGGCTCCTGGCCTCAGCAGGGAGCAGCCAGGATCCATGTAACAGGGGTGGAGTGTTGGGTCCTGCACCGAGGGCATGTGCTGTACCCGTGGGGACTGGAGCGTGGTGCCCTGGGCTCTGTGCCTGCAGAAGAGACGGTGATGGCCTGAGGAAGGGAGGGAGGCAGGGACCTGCCTGCAAGGGAGCCCTGAGCTGCTGGCAGAGGAGTGCAGGCAGTGAGGGAAGGATGGGGGGATGACAGCAACGATGGGCAGGAGCTGGGATGGAGCATGGAGAAGCTGGGGTGGGTTTGGGGCAAGTGGAGCCCCACACCTGCCATTTGCAGGCAGGTTTGGAGCAAGGGGTGCTTGGGGATGTACAAGAGGGTTCTTGGTCATCCTTACCCCAAAGCCATCAGCCACAGAGCGGTTGGATACCCTGGAGGAGGTGAAGGGTGGTCCCCAAGGTCCCCGTCAGTGCAAGGCTCAGACAGAGCCATGAGCTGGGCTTGAAACACCGGCCAGCTCCTGCCTTCGTGCAGCCCCCTCGGGCTGGGCAGCCTTCAACAGCCAGGATGGGGAGGTTTGGGGCAGAATGGTGGAAAACGGTGCACACACTGCTGCTTCCCACCATGGAAGCACCGGGGAGCAGCAGCAGGAGCAGGGATGAGGGCAGAGGAAGGGCTTGGACCCCTGCTCCTGGGAAAAGCCAGCAGCATTTAATAAGGGAGAAACTGGGCTCTGCACAAGTAGCACTCTTCCCTCCCACTGCTGTGTGCATCCTGCGACGTGGGACACCACGGTGCCTATTCTGCTCCTGAACCAGCCCATGCTCCTGAACCAGCCCATGGAGCTCTCCCCAAACCAGGTCCTAACGTTCTGCCGGGTTCTGCAGCATCTTGCACAAACATCCACTCTTCTTTCACCGGCAAAGCCTTGTGCTGGGTGCCTTGAGGTGATTGTGTGAGGGTGGAACCCAAAAGAGCACAGGAACCTTTCCCACTGCTGCCCAGCTCTGCTGCCAGACCCGGCTCCACTGCAGCACCAAGATGTGCCTCATTGAGGCACCTGAGGAACAGCCCGTGCTGCTTCTGGACGTGGTTTTGGGGAGCAGCTATCTCGGTTGTCACGGTTCAGAGGGGATGGAGCAATGCTCTCCGAGGAGCAGTGGGTGCTGGGCACGGCTCCAGTCCTTGACGTGGTGCCCCAGTAACCCAGTGACATGGAGGGGAATGCTTTCCTGGCTGGTGGGAGCGTGCGCCTTGCCCGTTGCTCACAGGCATCGTTATAAACGGGGTAGCAAACAGTTCTCAGCACCGTGACACTTTTCCATGAGGCTGGGCCAGCTGATGGAGCTGCTGATACGTGGGCTGACTCCTGCAATGCCCGGGCACCCCATAACAGGACACAGGGGCAGCCCATGCCAGCAGGATGCTTCCACCCCACACCACCTGCTTGTGCCTCTGCCTCCTGCTTCTGCCCTTGGTTAAATTCATGGTGTACGTGAGAGCCGCTGCGTTTGCAGCGCTGGTGCTGGTGCTCGGCTGAGAAGGCGAGCAGGGAGCAGCCAGTAACAAGAAACCCCACAGACACCACGTCCCCAGCTGCTCGGCACCACAGGCAGGGGCCAGGGGTGAGGCCTCGCTTCTCCCATATGGAATGAACCCTGGATAGGAGACCAGGCAAAAGATGGGAGTGAGGAGGAGAGGTTGGCCGGGGATGGGGACACCCAGCCACACAGGAGAGGGTTAAACCTCTCCCGGGGATTAAATCCGAATGTCCTTTGATTTAGAGGCAGGTGAGAGGAGAAATCTGAACCCTACAGCTTCCACCCCCACTTTAGGGGAGCCGCAGCCCTCCCGATGCATAGATGGATCATCCATACGTGGGGCCGCTGTCTGGAACAGCCTGTCACCGGATGGAGCCTGTTCCCAGCGCTGGTGAGGCCACCGCGGGGTACATCCCACCCCAAGCAGGGACAACCTATGGCTCGGCTCTGTTCTGGGGGGCAGATGGGGGTGATCAGCCCTGGAGAGGGTCACAGCAACCCTGCCTCCTGCCCCACTGCCTCCCTGCTGCACAATGAACCCCAGGGCAAAGTGGGGTTGATGGTGAAGGCTGTAATGGCAAGGTTGCAAGAGGTCAGGGCTGAGCTTTGCCCATAGCCCTGCACTGGGCATCAGTGGGGAGAGGGGAGGAGAGCAGGGCTGGATTTGGGGTCTTCGTGTGCTGGCAGAGGAAGGATGGGAGCAGATCCCTGCTGGCATCACCAACCGCTTCGGGAGGACCAAGGGCATCCTCATGGCACGCCCTGGCCAGGTGTATGGGGTCTTCCTCAGGGATGGGGCTGATCCAACCCAGCGCTGCGCTCATGGAAACCGATGTCACTTGTGCAGCCCTCGGCGAGGGTGCTCAGCCCTGGTGTCACCCACAGCAGCCGGGCATGGGGGCAAGGGGGAGCTGACCCTGGCACAGGCATTCCCCAGCTCATCCCTTCTGCACAAAACCCACCTTTTCCAAGCAAAAGAGGTCACCTCAGCTTTGACAGCCTGGACCCAAGCCACTGTTCTCTGCTGTCCCTCTGCTCCGAGGGGACCAAGGGGCCAGCACTGCGAAGGGGTGGGCAGCAGCACATGAACAGCCTGTACTAGACACATCCAGTGTCCCTGTAA